GCGACCTCGGACAAAAGATGCGCGCGGCTGCGGAGGAGCTCGGCCTTGCCCTGGCCTCTCCGTATCAGCTGCGGCACGGCGGGGCATCCGACGACCTCGCGGCGCGGCGGCGGACCGCCCTGGAGTTCCAGGCTCGAGGGGGGTGGGCGAGCCCGCAGTCGTTCTTGCGGTGCGCCAAGCCCGGGCGGATCTTGGCGGAGATGGCGAAGCTTCCCGCCGGGGTGGTGGACCTCGGGCGGGCGGTCGACGCGACGCTGGCCGACATCTTCCTGAGGGGGGCGGCCATCCCGCCTCCGCCTGCACGATCTGCCGCAGGCTCTTGCAGGACTTAAAACGATGTATGAGGGCCCCGAGGCACGTAGTGAAAGCTCGCGCCGTTTTTCTGGAACTCTTTGCTGGATCCGGTGGTCTTTCTGCCCGGATATCGTCTCTTGGCCTGGCCGCGCTTCCCCTGGACTTCGACCAGGGTCGCCGGCCCTGGCATGATCTGAGCCGCCCCGAGGTCCAGCAGATGGTCCTCGGGTGGCTCAAATCTCGAGTTGTGCGAGCCGTCTGGTTGGGAACCCCATGTGCCTCCTGGAGCCGGGCGCGGCACGGCCCCCCTGGGACCTCCTGGTGTTCTCTCAGGTCCGCGGCCTTTCCTCTCGGGCTCCAGGGGCTCTCGGGTAGATCCCTCCAGGCCGTCCGCTCGGGAAATGCCCAGATGCGTTTTACAGTAAAGGTCATTCATTTGTGCCGCCGCCTGTCTACCCCAGTGTATCTAGAGAATCCTGGGGCGTCGTTTTTGTGGGCAGCGCCGGCAGTGGCCGCCTTGCTCTCCAAGCCCGATTGCAGGACGTACGTGCTCGATATGTGTTCTTTCGGGGCCCCGTGGCGAAAACGCACCCAGGTGACCTGTTGGGCCCCCTACCATCCCCCTTCCTCGCCCCCTTGTCTCTGCCGGGGGCGGGGGGGGATGTGCACTTACTCCAGCAAGCGTCACATCGTTCTGACCGGCATCGACCGGTCCACTGGCATGCTCTGGACTCGTCGGGCCGAGCCATACTGTAAGAAGTTTTGATAATTTTTTGCCAGGATTATTCAGTGTCAGGTAGATTGGATCGGTTTCAGCAGAATGTCAATGTTAGTTAATGATGTTTGAGTGTTCGGCCCCGGGTGCGGTGTGTGCCCTCTCGGTCCGCCCCCGGGGGCCACGTTACCATTCGAGACTCGGGCGTGTCTCAGCGCGCTGAAATGTTTTCCTTTCGTTCAGGCCCGGGTTCCACAGCGTCCCGGCCCCTGACCAGGCTGCCCAGGCCCCCGGCCCACACAGCAAAAAGTGGAACGCAGCATGGGTGTGGCACGGGATAGCGTTGAGATGATGATGATGATGATGATGATGATGATGATGATGATGATGATGATGATGATGATGATGATGGGGAGGAGGAGGAGGAGGAGGAGGAGGAGGAAGAGGAGGAGGAGGAGGAGGAAGAGGAGGAGGAGGAGGCAAGAACAGGAGGAGGAGGAGGAGAGGAGGAGGAGGAGGAAGAGGAGGAGGGGGAGGAGAAGGAGGAGGAGGAGGAGGAGGAGGAGGAGGATGGAGGAGGCAGAGGAGGGAGGAGGAGGAGGGAGGAGGAGGAGGAGGAGGAGGAGGAGGAGGAGAAGAAGAAGAAGAAAAAAAAAAAGAAGAAGCAGGAGGTTCAGGACGACGAGGAGGAGCCGACAGGGCGCGAGCGCCGCGGCGTGCAGTGCTGGGGCACTACCCCGAACGGAACGACGCCACGATGAGGAGGACGGGGGAGGGGGGGGAGGAGGAGAAGAGGTGAAGTCAGGAGGGGATGGAGGACCTAGTGGGCCCTGGAAACGACAGGGCTGGTTTCGAGGAGGACGGGGAAGGGGGGAGAGGGGGAGAAAAAGAGGTGAAGTCAGGAGGAGATGGAGGATCTAGTGGGCCCTGGGAACGACACGGCTGTTGTATTACCAGTTCTTTTTTGCCGTTTCTGTTGCGGTTCCGTGGCCACGAACGTCCCATCGTTCCATGTTCAGTTTTCTTGCGGTAGCACGATGCTTGCACAGTCAACGCGCACGGTAATGCCCAGCATCCTTTTCTAAGGATTTGTTTGCATTTGCGCCTCTTCGGCCCATCCTGAGCTAGTCACTGGCTCAAGCATATTGAACTCGGGCGTCCAAGGGCCTTCCATCCTTACTGTGCTTCCTCACCATGCGCATTGACTGCAAGTGGCGTGGAAAGCCGCCGCTGGCAAGACGGCACGGGGCTCCGTTGTGTAACGTGTTGTTGGCAAGCGTTCCAACAGCAGGGCGACATCTTGAAGAGCTCCGACTACGAGGCCCAACCCAGGAAGAGGAGTAGAGATGAAGTCAGAATAGGCTGGGGGAGGTGCGAGGAGAGAGAGAGAAAGGGAGAGAGAGAGAGAGAGAGACAGAGATAGAGAGAGAGAACAACAAGAGAGAAAGAGAGATATAAAAACAACAACAACTTATATATATATATATATGTATATATATACATATATGTATACATATATATATATATGCATATATATACATGTATATATATGTATATATAATACAACAACGAGAGAGGTAGAAGGAGAGAGAGAGGGAGAGAGAGAGAGAAAGAGAGAGAGAGAGCGCGAGAGGACTGGACGAAAGTATATTGAGGAGTAGGGGACTTGTTCGCCTGCGAGCAGCAGGACGACGAAGTCGATGATGGTGTCAGCGAGGACAGCGAGGACGTACGACACTAGACAGCCAGGGCGACTGCCAGGATGGCGGTGACAAGTTGTGCGGCTAAAGCAGCGTAAACGGCTAGACTGGTCAGGGTAAACGCTGATGACGACAGAGGCAGGAATGTTTGAGGGCCACTTAGGATACTGTAGAACAGCGACCCGTTCCAGTAGCTACAGGCTGGCAACCATTGCAGCACACCGGTAGCTGTGAACAGGGAGATTGGATTATGGTTGATTGAGGGCACGCTGGGATAATCCACCATGACTGTACGACCACCCTTCGGGTGACAATGAGGTTAGGGGGTGGGGGAAAGAACCAACTGCTGGCAAATACGATGGGTGTGATGATGATGATGATGATGATGATGATGATGATGATGATGATGATGATGATGATGATGACGATGCTGATGACGCGCTCTCGAGACGACGCTTGATGTCGATGTTGCGATGCGATATAATCTAACTATCGTTCCCGCTTTTGGTCACACCCGATCGGTCCAACTATCGACCTCACATGAGCGATCACACCCGATCGATCTCACTATCGATCTCACGATCGATCCCACTATCGATTCCTCTATCGATCCGACTATCGATCTCATCATCGATCCCAAACCTCCGATCGTATCGAGACAACGGAGCCATGGCAATACTAAGACCCTTGACGCGTTGAACAGAGCAATCTGAACACCCATGGCCCAAGCATCAGCGTGTACTGGAGGCGACGATAGTTCAAGGGGAACGGGGAAGGAAACCGGCACAGAACACGGCCCCAGTGCAGCTTCGCTTCATCCCTCCTCGTTCCAACATCCTCCGCGTCCTCTTCCCTCCTCCTGCTGCTCCACCTGGCTTTATCTGCCTCTTCCTTCTCCTCCTTCATTGTCCTTTCCCTCCTTCTCCTCGCTCCGCTTAACCTTCTTCTACCTCCTCCGCATCTCCCCCCTCCTTAAACCTCACCTCCCCAGCCCCTAGAGACTCCATAACACGACTAGAACTCTGAAAGCCCCCCGAACCCTTTTCTCTTAGAAGCAGAAGAATTTCTAGTTCCCAACCATCCTGCGGTGTTGGATCCTCTTCTTGAAGAGACAGCGCCCCGCGTCACTCACCTCCTGTCCTCACCCTCCTCTCTCCTCCTATCCCTGCCTCTGTTCTCCGCATCATATTAGCATTCCCCTCAAACGCTTCGTGGCCACCCAGGGAGCTCCGCCGAAGGCCCCAGAGGCAAAGTCCGCATGGCGGCACCGCTCCAATTTCGGCACGCACCTCACGCGTGTCGTGGCCCCATAGGAATCTCCGCCAGATGCCCCAGTGGCAAAGCCCGCATTGTGGCACCCCCCCATTTCGGCGCATCCCACGCGCTTTCCATAGGGAGCTGCAACGAGGGCCCCAGCGGCTAAGTCCGCCCAGCGGCCCCGCTCCATTCCGGCGCACCTCTCGCGCGTTTCATGGCCCCACGGGGAGTTTCACCGAATGCCCCAGCTGCAAAGTCCGCAAGCCGCCACCTGGCCATCGTGGCACACTCCCCGCACGAGTCGTCCCCATCCTTCGCATCACTTGCCTTGCGGCCCTCGCAGTTGCAAACAGTTGGGCCCCTCGCCAGAGTGCTCCCCCCTCCGGTTACACATCGCCTAAGCCCCCCTCCAGAGATACCATCCTGACCCGCTTGCCGAGACGCACCCCGCCGTTGTGACATGGGGGTGCCCAGAAGGCCAAGAAGCGGGGGAGGAGAGGGAGAGAGGGGAGGGAGGGAGGAGAGGGAACGAGGAGCAAGAAGAAGAGGAAGACGAGGAGGGGTCCCCCTTCCTCCTCACCTTCCTTCTCTTCCTGCGCTTCTTCCACACCCTCGCCCTTTCTCACCCTCCCTGCCCCTCTCCTCCTCCGCCTCCTCCTCCTCCTCCCCGCCCCTTCTCCGACGACGGCGGCGACGACAATGGCGACGACGACGACGACGACGACGACGACGGCGACGGCGACGACGACCACCACCACCACGACCACGACCACGAGCACGACCACGACGACGACGACGAAGACGGCGACGACGACGACAACGATGAGGACGAGGGCGTCGGCGATGGCAACGATTGCGACGATTGCGACGACGACGACGACGACGAGTGCGGCGGTGACGGAGGCGGCGACGACAACTGCGGCGACGATGACCACGACGAGGATGGCGGCGACTGCGGCGACGACGACGACCAGTGCCTTCAACAATGCGACCAGCGGAGGGCCAGAGAGCACCGACAGCGGCGCCGCGCGGAGGAGCGGAGGTGGCCGCCGCCGCCTCGGTCGCGGCCGGGGGCATCGCCGCCTCCGCGGCTGGCAACTTGATGTCGCGCCCCCGCAACCCGCCACGGCCACCTCCTCCTCCTCCTCCTCCTCCTCCTCCTCCTCCCTGTCCTCCCCCTCCTCCCTGTCCGCCTTCCCTGTCTACCCGATGGGCGAACGTGGCCCCCACGGAGTGTTTCTTCTTCGTCGTCTTTTTATATTATTATCAGCATTATTATTATGATTACTTTTACTTTTTAGTATTAGTATTAGCATTATTCTTAGTATTATTAGTAGTCGTCTTACTATTTTTATCATTGGTATTATTAGTCTTAATAGTATTACTCGTATTGTTAGTATTACTACTATTATTATTATGTCTTATCGCTGTTTATTATCACTGCTATTTTTACTATCATGATTATTATCAGTATTAGTATTCGTGTTAGTATCATTATTCTTAGTATTAATATTAGTAGTATTCTTTTTCTGATTATTATTATGCTTATTATTATTACGATTTATTAATATTATAATAATTTGTATTTATATTATTATTATTATTATTATTTCATCGCTTCGCTCAGTCCGCCTGCCCTGGAGCTCTCTTTAGGGCCTCTTGGGAACCTCTTGGGAGTCTCTTGGGGTTCCTTGGCGGCGTCTAGGGGGCCCCCAGGGCCTCTTGGGGGGCTTTTGGAGGCATCTTGGGGCGGGAAGGGGGGGTAGTCGATTGTGGCTCCCCCCTCGGAGGCCACGACCCTCGTGAGGGGTGTCGAAAAATGGCCCTCCGCTGGAGTGCTCTGGGAGCTTCTCCGGGGCTTCTGCCAGGGTACTTTTCGTCCGGGGGCCCTCAGGGGCCGCTCCGCGCGCGCGAACTAGAAACATTGTTAACCAGTTACCCGAGATCTTAGCACGCCTCTGGCCCGTTGGGCCGGCGAATTCGTCTTCGTCTGCATCTTCTGGTCCTCCTTCCTTCCTTCCCTCTCCTCCTCCTTCCCTCCGACTTCCCCCATCCTCCCCATCCCTCCATCCTCCTCCTCCTCCTGCGTGCCCCCCCCATCCCAAAAGCTGCTCCAGAGCTGCTCCTCGTCCTCCCTCCCTCCCTCCTTCCCTGGCCGCGGTGCGCCCCCTCGCCGCGGTGGGCAACCCGACGTCTCGCCCCCCGCGCCCCGCCACAGCAACGGCTATCGACGATCCAGGGTCCTCTCCCAGACCAACCGTAAGTCGGGCATGTCTCTCTACCGGAGGAGTCAACAAGAAGAGTTAAAAACAACAGTATGGTGGCTATGTGTTCGTGCTTTTTCTATGAAAAACAATGGTTGTGTTTAACTCTTACATATCTCTTCCTCAAATCCGCATGTAGGAGGACATGCCCGATATAAGTCTAGGCCTTCCAGATGGGGTCCGAGATGTGTCGGAGGATCGCTTCGCATTGCCGATGCGTCAACGATGCGGCTTGACGTGGGGCCAGAATCTCCCCACGGCGGTGGCGCCAGTGTATCGCCGACGTCGCCGGCCGGTGCATCACCGATGCATCGCCGATGAATCGCCGATACATCGCCGATGCATCGCCGATGCACTGGCGGTGCGGCGAGATCCTCCGACCCCATCGACATGTGGGAGGCCTCTGGGTCCTGGGGACCCATCGGCTTCGACACCCCTCGCGAGAGACCGTCGGTACGATGGGTTCCCCCAGGGGGGATGAGAGAAGTACAACGCCTCCAGTTCTGCCATGGCCACGGCTCCGAGAGGCAAGAGAAGACATGATGAGGATACTTTTCAGGATTTCCCAGCTTCCGAAGGTCTCTTTCTGTTCCCCGCGGGCTCCCCAAGCGAGGGCCGCTAGGTGCTATGGCACTCCTCGAACGCACCTTGAGCCAACTGCATCATGACATCATTCTCGCCTTACGACGCTCGACGATCCACGGCCTATTTCCCGATCGGTTGGATTCGACATCGGCCTCTTGCCGGCTGGACCGGATTCGGTTCCTGGATTCCTGCGATCCGATGAGGCGGCCCGATGCTCGCACGGTGCGGATGCGCATCCGGGCGTGACCGATCGCATTCAAGTCAGACTCCATGCCGAGGCGGCCCGCCTTGGTGCATGCCCTGATCCGATCCAGTTTCGCAAATCGATGTTGGCTGCTCCTGCGGTCCAAGTTCGAGGATGGAAGTGTTCGGGTTGTTCTACTCCCGTTGTTTGAGGGCCTCCAGGAGGGTTCCCGTCCCCCCGCTTCGTCAACCATCGAAACTCGAGTCTCAACGTGTCCCTGAGGCCGATCGGCGCGGGCCCTCGCACCCCACCCCCCCGTGGAGTAGATCTTGGCTGTTTTGGGCGTCTGTTTCGAGCAGGTGGAGTCTCCCCCCTAGGACGCACGGTCCCACAAAGTCGCACTAAGCAGAGGTCCGGAGCCAGACCCCCCCCCTTCCGCCCCATGTCGAAACGCTGGAAATGAAGAAGAAACGCTCACCACTGGACAGGTGCAGGGGGTCGACGCCATACCCCCGGACCACGACGTCGGGGCGCAGAAGAGACGAGCCCTTGGGGGAGGGGGTGGGTCTGGCTCCAGACCTCTGCCTAGTGCGTCTGTGTGGGACCGTGCGTCCTGGGGGGGAGGCTCCACCTGCTCGAAACAGGCGCCAAGAACAGCCAAGATCTACTCCACGGAGGGGGGGGGGAGGGGGGGTGCGAGGGTCTGCGCCGATCCGGATCGGCAAAAGAATGAATCAAGCACGCCCATCACTGGGCAGGTGCAGGGGGGGTCGACGCCAGAATCACCCCCATATCCCCCCGGACCACGACCTCGGGGCGCAGAGAAGTCGAGTGTCCACGGAGGCAGCGGGCCCTGCAACCAGTTGGTTGTTTGCCTTCGGGCTGCCGGGGCCCTGCTGCTCCGGCCCACGGGCTGCCACCGGAACGCTGGTCCCGCGGGAAGGCCTCCGGGCGCCAGGACCCGATGTCGGGGGCGGTAAAGGAGGGGGTGACGACGGGGGGGGGGCGTGGATGGCATGGCGGGGGGCACGATATCTCCCCAGGTTTCGTGGCGCCTCTGCTTATCTCAGTACGTCTCTGGGCCGCCCCTGGGCCGCGCACGTGCCGCCGGCCATGATTTGTGCCCCCCCCCCTCTTGGACGCCCCCCTCTTGGACGCCCCCGATAGTGCCAACACTGCCACGACGATCGGCGATCCAGGAGGGCCGCGTTCGGTCCGATTGATTCGATTCGATGTCGACCTGTGGCCGTCTCGATCCGACCACGTTCCAGTGTTTCGACGATCTGATGCGGCCCGATGCGCGCACAGCACGGTTGTGCACCTTGGCGCGGCCGATCATATTCGATTCCGTGCCGATGCGGCCCGATGAGTCTCGTTGGAACCTCGCTTTTGAGCATGTCCAGGGGATCGGTTGTCGACCTCTGGACGAGCGAAAGGGAGAGAATGAGAGAGAGCGATGGGGGATGGAAAGAGAGTGAGTCTAGGCCTCTCAGATGGGGTCCGAGTAGATGTGGTCAGAGGATCGCGCCGCATCGCCCATGCATCGGCAATGCGTCCTATCATTGAGCCCGAATTTCTCCACGTTGGCGTCGCCGATGCACCGCCGACGTCGCCGATGCCTCGTCGATGGATCGGCGATGCGGCGCGATCCTCCGACCCCATCTGCTCGGACCCCATCTGGGTGGCCTCCAGTGAGGGACCACGGCGGCGATCACGGCGGCGATCACGATAGCCACGGCCGCGACCACGACGACGCCGACGCCGGCGACGGCGACGGAGACCACGGCGGACCACGGCGGCGACGACGACGACGACGACGACGACGACGATAGCAACAAAGACGACGACGACGACGCCCACGACGACCATTGGCGGCCCGTCGCGCGGGAGCCCGCCCCCGGCGCCAGGTCGGGCGCACAGGGCGAGGACCGGGGCCCCCGCCCCTGGGCCCAGTGGCAGAGGGGCGTGCCAGCTGCGCGCGGGCTCGCCACGAAGCCGACAGGCAGGAACGCTTGGCACGAGCGGCGGGCGTATCCACATGAGACGCGCGGATCCACAGGAGGCGTTCCAGAAAGGACCTCGCCTCCGAGGATGGAAGGAGGTGGCATCTCTCCGCGGCGGAAGGCGGCGGAAGGGCGGAGCGGAAGCCGGCGGAAGCAGAACGAGGCCGCGCCCACTCCAGCGGAAGCTCGGCGGGAGTAAACGATGCGCCCCCAAGGGATGACCTTGTGTTTGGATTCGTGTTTTGTGGGAATCGGCCACACATGATCGCAGGTCGAAGGTTCACAGCCCCCCCCAGATGGGATGGGCCCCAGGGTTCCACAGCCGCCCCCCCCTCCCAGTCTGGATGGGGGGGGACGGCCACGACGACGACCACAGCAGCAGCCCCACACCCAGAGTGGGAGGGGCGCGGGCACCGGCACCCCCCTCCACCACACCACGCCCACAGGTCCACGATCACAGAGGGGGGGGGGAGCGATCCCATGCGCGAGGCCTTCGCGAGGCGTACCCATCCAGCGGGGAGGGGGATCGATCCCATTAGCATTGTGTGTGTGGTGGGGAGAGGGGGCAACCCTAGATCATGTATATCCACTCCCTCGAGGTCGGGATTCCCGGGCGCGATGCCGCGGATTCGCAGTCGCACAGATGCGTTTTGCGCGGGGCACATGCGCAAGAACGCCTTGCATCCGCGGGGTCGCGGCCCAGGCCCTCGAGGCCATACAGTAGATACGGATAGGGTTTCCCCACGAGTTCCCTTGGCGTGCCGCTCCGCCGGTTCTGGCCCACCACGCCTCGGCGAGTCGCGCTAGTCACGTCGCGGTCCCTGGGCGTCAGAGTCGGAGTGCCGAGCCTTTCCCCGCCTCCCGCCGCCACGCAGAGCGGAGCGGCACGCCATCCGCCTGCAAGGCACAGCGTGTCGCCGGGGCGGCCGCAACGACATGCTGAAGTAGCAGTGCCCGACCGTGGGGGTCACCCTCAGGGGCGCGAGGGCACAGCGCGCTTCGCGCGTCGCGGTCTGGGCCAGCGCGATTGGCCTTCTTCGGCCACGCGCAGAGAGGGGTATTAGGGGCACGAATAATGACATGAACATAAAAAAAATCAGAGGTCTGCGCGGATTCCTCGGATCCGCGCTGGGGCCCCTGGCGGCGCCTCCAGCGCCGCCCCTGGCGAACTCCGCGCGCCAGGGAGGGGGGTCCAGCGCCAGTCCGAGAAATCCGCGCGGACCTTCGAGTTTTTATGTTTTTGTCATTCTTCGTTCCCTTAGGTATGGGGGAAGGGGGACAGGCTTCTCAGAAGCACCCAGGCTCCTCAGCAGGCGCGGGCCTCGTCTGCAGATGTGAGGCCCGCGCCTTCTAAGAAGCAGGGGGGTGCTTCTGAGAGGCTTGCCCCCCCCCCCCCCCCCCCCCCCTACTGACCACCCTTTGTGCGCCCCGCCAGCTTCTCCTGGGGGGGGGGCGCCGCGAGAGCGCGGTGGCGCAGAAATGATCGCGCGCGTGCTGCACGGCGGGGCGCGAGGCGCGAAGCCGGGTGGCCCGGGAAGCGAGCGGGCTGCCGAGGGAAGCGGGTCCCGAGCTTCTCCGCCGTTGGGCAGGCGATCGCAGACATGGATCCAGGAGGCGCGGATGAGCGACGGGTCCCGCTTCCATGGGAAGTCGCGGATTTCCGCCGCCGAGCGAGGGGGCACCGACCGCATTCCGGGGAGGGCACCTCCCCCGATTCATGGAGTTGGCGACCGCGCGCCAAATCCATGAATCGCTAATCAATGCTTGCGCGCCTCCGAGTTGGGGACCCGCGCAGGCCCAAGGGGCTGTCAATCAGCGACTCGGGACGAAGCGCTGGTCTTGGGTCGGGGAAGAGTAAGGCTCGAGGACGCCAGAGCTCGGGTTCGCCGACGTTGGTTGACGAGCACGTCCTGGGCTGTGACGGCCCAGTTCTCGTGAGACATCTGCAGCGGAATTTCGCGTCAAGTCTCAGACTGGGTCTCGCTGTTTTCATGATGGCCCCGTCAGGCCAGCCCGAGTCCTCCGAACCCGAGTCTTACGTCCCCCCATCTGGGGGAAGGCCCCACGGGGTCCAGGGCACGTTTCCCTCAGTGCCCGTTCCCCTCATGCCATGGGGTGGGAGGGCGGGCGACCGGGGCAGGAGTCGTTACGATTGGTATGGGTACGGAGGGATCGTGTCATGTCGACGCGGTGGCGACCCCTGCGCGGGGGTTCAGAGTTGAACGCCCGCCAGTGTGCCAGAATCGGCCAATCTGGGAAGATGTGGCGATCGAGAAGCAGCCGAACGTTCAAGGTCCAACGATCCACGCGGCGTTAGAAACCACCGCGCCCGTCGTCAGGGCACGAAGGAACGAATGGGGACGAAGACCGCCGGCATGTCTTCCGTACCTTTCGGGTGCAACGGCAGGGGGGACTGGCTCAGGGGGGGTGAGCATCGACCCCCAATCGCCGATTCATCGCCAAGCCCCCATCCCGCCCATGAGGGTAGAGTTTGTCAATCGGGAGGCTATAGCTGATCTGTCGGCGATATATCGTCGATTTCATACCTCTACGACCACCCTGCGGGTGATAAGGAGGTTGGGGGGGAGGGGGGCCAGCAATGGGCAACAGTGGTGATTGTTGCGTTGCCGCTCGCTCTTGGGACCATCGATCCCACTATCGATCTCACTCGATCGATCTCACTATCGATCTCACTCGATCGATCTCACTGTCGATCTCACTCTGGATCTCGCTATCGATCCCACTATCGATCTCCCTATCGATATCACTCGATCTCACAATCGATATCACTATTCATCTCACTATCGATCTCATTATCGATCTCACGATCGATCTCACTATCGGTCTCACTATCGATCTCACAATCGATTTCGACATCGGTCTCACTATCGTTTTCGCACCAGCGGGACACCGAGACACCGGCGGGACACCGGCGGGACACAGGCGGGACACCGCGGGCCACCGCTTGCCGGAGGGAGAATCATTTGGTCCGGCCGGGACCCAGCCACAAGCGGGACACCGGCGGGACACCGCGGGCCACCGCTTGCCGGAGGGAGGATCATTTGGTCTGGCCGCGCCTCAGCCACAGGAGACTTTCCTCTCGCCCGCCCACGCAGCTTCGCCTCGCCCGCACGCACGGCACGCACGAACACGAAACCGAAACCGATTTCCCCCTCGCGGTGCTCTCCGTTCCACTTCGATCTCACCCCCCAACCTATGGTTATTGAGTTCCCCCCTGAGCCAGTCCTCTCTGTCGGCTCCCTTCAGAGCCCATGCGATCGAAATGTGTATGAAAACGATGAGGACGAAGACCGACAGCACTTCTTGCCCATCTCGAGCCATGCTCGCTGTCGGTGCCGCCGCGGGCGTTGTTCATTCCAGACGTCGCCTGCCCATCTGCGGCTGCGGTCGGCTTTCGGCAACTTTTGTCGTTGGGCACTGTAGCGGAGGAGGAGGAGGAGGAGGAGGAGGAGGAGGAGGATGAGGAGGAGGAGGAGGAGGAGTGCCAATTGGGAGGTGGAAGGAGGAGAGGAGGAGGAGGAGGAGGAGGAGGAGGAGGAGGAGGAAGCTGTACCCATGTCGGGAGTGCCAATTGGGAGGTGGAAGGAGGAGGAGGAGGAGGAGGAGGATCGTCAGGAGGGGACAGAGCATGCAGACACACATGAGTGGACCTCCAGGAAACAATTAATCATATGGGAAGTAGAGGAGAAGCCGATAATCAATAACATATGAACAAAAACATTGGAAATCCTGGGATTTGTGTCCAATGATTTGCGTGTGTGCCCCTGAGCCCCTTCAGATCGAGGTTCTTCGACGTCCGTCGTCGTCTGTCGCAGTGGTCGTCTGTCGTCGTCTTCGTCAGTTGTCGTCGTCGTCTTCCTCGTCCTCCTCGTCCTCCTCTTTCGCCCCGGCAGGGGGAATCGGAGGATCAAGGTTCGAACTTGGGAGTCTTTGGGTTGCCCTGCTAGGTCTCCAGGGGGCTCCTCGTGGGCGCGGCTGTATCCGCCTCGGCACGCAGGCCGGGACGCTGCCCAAGACAGGTCTGGATGTCGATCACGTGGCGGAGGATCAGTCTGCGCCCCTGCCTTGCCGTCGCTCGTGCAGGGCGGGCGCCGCATGACCCGGAAGTTTCGCGTCGTGCCGACCTGGCGGCGACCCCTGCGCGGGCATCTGAACACCGCCGGCGGCGCAGAACCGGCCGACATCCAACGGCCCGCGCGATCAGGAGAGCCTGGATCGTTCAACGCGGAGCGACCCATGCGGTGCCAGAAACCAGCGCCCAAGTCGCCACGACGCGCAGACGCCGCCGCGGCAGCTCCCAAGGCCACTGGGAGCAAGCCGCCTCGCGAGGCACGGCAGCTTTCCAGCCCGCCCCGGCTCCAGCTGCCCGCGGCTTAGCCCCCCAGGAGCTGACAGTGGAGCCGCTCAGCCCAGGCCCGCCCCTCGTGCGTCCGCGCTGGGAGGGGGGGGGCGGGATGGATACCGAGGTCTCGTACCGCCCCCGCCATGTCCCCGTCCCGACCCCTCTTCCCCTCCTTCCTCCCCCCTTGGTGCCTCCCTCCTCCTCCCCCCCGTGACGCGTCCGTAGCCATTTTGGCTCAAGATGCTTGCACTTGGGGGCTTCCGCGCCCTCGTGCCAAAGTGGGGTAACCTCATGCCCGTGAGAATAAACACTAGGGGATAATAAAGTTCGGGGTTCAGGGAGACATAATAAAAGTAGCCCAGCAGACCTCAGCATAATCTCGAAGTAAGAGATGATCAAGAGCAGACCAAGCCGAGCACGTTTTGAGACATCCTTGGCGTTTAGTTTTCATAGAAATATCCTCAACAATGGCTTATCTCGCTGGAGACATCCTCGACCAATCCCTTGTTTCGCTTGAGACATCCGCAAACTATTGCTTATTTCGCTTGAGACACAGTCAAACTATTGCTTACTTCGCTTGAGACATCCTCGAAATAATTGTGTTTTTCGACGAATCGTTCGTTTCGCTTGAGACATCCTCACAGAATCTCTCAATTCGCTTGAGACATCCTCGAGCGATTGCTGTTTTCGCTTGTTCCAAATCTATCAATTTTAATTTACAAACGCTTTATGAAAATTGATTGTTTAAGTGCTCGTGTAGGGTAGCTCATGTGCTTCATTTTCCATGGATAATCAACCCCAGGGATAAAAAAGTTCAGGCGAGCGTGAGGACAGATAGACATATAAAAAATAAGAGGAAAGTAGAATAATAATAAGAAGAGAAGAAGAAGATAATAATAAGAAGAGAAGAAGAACGGAAAAAATGGAAAGTTCCAAATCTATGAATTTTAATTTACAAACGCTTTATGAAAATTGATTTTTTAACGTGCTCATGTCGGGTAGCTCATGTGCTCCCCTTTCCATGGATAATCAACCCCAGAGATAAAAAAATCAGGCGCGCGCGGGGATATAGACATATATAAAAAAAGGAAGATAATAACCAATATAAATAAAGAAGGAAAAACTTGCTGGTTTAGCTTGAAACATCCTTGAGACATCCTTGGAACATTGCTCGTTTCGTTTGAGCCTGCCTCCCAAAATTTTTGGTTTCGCTTGAGACATCCTTGAAACATTGCTCGTTTCGTTTGAGTCTGCCTCCCAAAATTATTGGTTTCGCTTGACACATCCTGAAAAAGTGTGATCGCTTCGCTTGATGTTGCTATATCAACATCGCTTGATGTTGCTATCTCAACATAGCGTTTCGAGGTGATAATGAAGTTCGGCCTCAGCGCTCGCCGCCCAATTTGAATTTTGTATAGGGCGACGATAATCAACTCTAAACACTGAAAGGGGGGGGGTCCCTTTATTATCATCGGCATGCGGTTAGCTCTGTTTCCCGAGCCAGACAATCCGATTGTTCAGGGGTCCTCCTGCTGGAGGGCTCGCGAGCCCCATGGCCCCACCGCCTCCCGTCTCCGATGTGCTGCGCGGGCCCAGGACACCGCTCTGGGGATGCAGTTGTGGCGCAGACAAGAACTGGGCGTGTCGAGTCCGCTGCCGCTGCGGCACCGCTGCCCCAGCTCGCAGTGTCGCCGCAGCCAAGACCGCACACGCTAGAGCTGAGAGGGCTGAGAAGGAAGTGCAAGGGAGGAAGCCCGTGCTTGGTGGCCGTCGAGCCACACCAGCGCCATGGGCACGCGACCAGAACGAGGAGCTCCGCAAGCAGGTGGCCGCGCTCGAGCGCAAGTTGGCCAACACCAGCCTCAAGGACCCGACGCCCGACCAGGGTACAGGTGCTGAGAGGCCGAAGGATGCAGGAGCTACCCGTGAAGAGATTCTCTCGTCGATCTCTTTCTATGAAAAGTACCTCAAGGAGCCGTCGTTGCCGCCTAATGTCAAGCAGGCGCATCAGCTTGAGATTGAGACCCTCCGAGTGCAGCTCGAGAGTGTCCAGTCTCCTGAGGCTGCCCATCGCAGGGCCCGGGATAAGCTCAAGAATGCGCAGTCGCAGCTGGTCAAGCTCCAGCGCGAGGCTGAGAAGATGTCCAAGCAAGTTCATGATCTCCAGGCTGCACTGGAGAACAAGAGGGCCGCAATTACTTCCAAGGAGGCGGAGGTCGACGGCTACAAGAAGTCGTTCGCTGAGACCGCCAAGGCCGTCGCCCCAGATCGGTCCCTCTTCCCTGAGTTCAATTTCGACAAGGATGGGCTCCCCGAGGAGATCCGCACCGCCCTCGAGTCCATCGGCGCGGAGACCACTGCCAAGTTGTTCGCGGACCTCGAGGGCCAGGTGCGGAAGGCAACCGCACCCGAGCCAGCGGACGCCCCTATGCCACAGCAGCCCGCTGAGAGCCCTGATGGGACTCCTACTCCTGGTGATGATGACGCCCCTGGCGGCGGAGTCAAGCGTGACCTCGACCCCACCTTCGAGGAGTCAAAGGAACTGTTCGAGCTCGTCAAAGGGGGCAACCCTGCTGACAGCAACGAAGACCTCATGCAGAAGTTCCATGACAAGCTGCTGGCCATGCACCGAGACAAACGGCAGCGTCTTTGATATGCCTGTATTGGTCAGCAGCTTGCCTGTTCATCATGGCCAAGTTCGGCCACCACCGAATGCTGACCCTAGAAGCCAGTTCTTCGTGGAGTCAACGCCAACCGTGGCATCCGTACGCTGAAGGAAAAGATACAGGCTTCGTCAGCGACAATATTCGTCGCGCAGGAAGTTGGATTCCATGATGATGATAATGATGATTTTGTTGCCTGGGCAGGTCGTCGTGGGTGGAAGTGTCTCACCAGCCCTGGCGCCAAGTCCAAGGGAACAACGCCCGCGCAGGGTGTTGCTGTACTTGCTATGGGATCACGTTGGACTTCGGGGACCAGGTTGCGCCCGCGCTGTCCTTCACCATCGCCGCGCACTGCACGTTGTCGTGCACCTTCCTGGATGGCCACCGTTGCACATCGTCTGTTTCTACCTGGTGGTCAACCAGGGCATCAAGGGCAGGAATGCGCGTATCCTGGCTCAGATCGGCACGCGGGTTTCCGAGATTGCCGGCCCCGTCGTCCTGGTTGGCGACTGGAATGCTACGCCGAGGGACATCGAGGAGTCAGGTTTCCTGAGAGTAGCTAAGATGGTACTTGTGGCCCCGTCCCTGCCCGCATGCATTACACCCAAGTCTAGCCGTGCGATTGATTTCTTTGCCGTCAACACTGTTGCCAAGAGGTTGCTCGAGTCCGTCCATGTGGACACCTCATGGCCGAAGCGACCTCACCGCCCTATTTCACTGGGCCTCTCTACGGAAGGCCTAAGGCAGCAGTGCATGGTATACACGGTGGCAAGGAAGTATGGGACCGAACGTTTCATTGGTCATACACGAGAAGGCTCTGACTGGCAGTACCCCCGCTGCGATGGCTGAGGCGGCCGTCGATGCTAGTCGCGAGAAGCCTGTTCGTGAAGCATGGTGCATTTTGTCGCGAGCGTGGGCTACCTTCGCCCATGCCGCCGAGAAGGAGGTCAGTGCAGTCACTGGCCAGTGTACGTCCAGCAGCGCCTCGTGGGGAGCGCCGCCCAAAGCCAGATGGGTTGACTACAATCACCGCCCCGAGACAGTTGCTGAAGCCAAGGCGATCTCTCGCGGCCGGACTTGGCCAACGCAGTCCCTGGGCAACTTGTGCAAGCTCATGGGGCTCAAGCACACTACGGTACCTTGTCTGGAAGCCGAGGTGGATGTGTTTTCGACCGCTGAGTATTTCGGGCAGGGTCTTTGCGCACGTTTGGGTGCCAGTGTTCTTGAGGCGCCAGCCGCTGTTGGAAATGCATTACTTCGTGCAGCTGGAGCCCAAGGCCCGCCACCAGCACCGTCCACAGCACATCTACGCTCTGAAGTGGCCCCTGCGGCCGCCACCGTGGTTGGCCCCTCAGGCCAGGAAGGATTGCAAGTTGATGGCCTGTTCCCTGATCAGATTGACGAGCCTGACATCGACCAGGGCGATTTCTTTGGTATCAATGCGCAGCTCGGGGACCAGACTGGAACCGTGTCTCAGGACGATGATTTCGAGTCCTGCGTCGCCCCTCGGATCCACCGTGACAGCCACCGAGCTGCTGAAATTCTTGAGCAGTGCCGCCGGGACATCGCAGCTGATGCGCGGAAGGCCGAGCTGGATGAAGTAAAGGATGATCGCCAACGGTGGCAGGACTGGTGCGACGCGGCATCGTCCAATGGTGCGCGAGGATTTCACCACGCTACCCGAGTTCCCAATGCACTTCACCCTACAGTAGTTCGTACTGCTGGAGGGCTTACGGCACATCCTCATGATATCGTCGAGGCCGAGGTTCGCAAGTATGAGAAGCTTTGGCATACTAGCCAGGTTCCGAGCCAAGCCTGGACGCCTGACAGGTCGGCAATGGACAGGGCCAGCGCGGACATTATCCGCGACGTGGCCAACAGCTTCCCGCGCACCACAACGGCCAGTCTTGATCGAGTGCATCCTCGTCACGTTGGGCTACTTCCTCGCGCTGCGCTCGACACCATGGCAGCGCTTCTCGAGGCGTGCGAACGGATTGGTCTATTGCCTCGCCATGTATGCTTCATTGTCATGCCTATGCTTGCTAAGCCCGACCAGGGCCACCGACTGATAATATTGTATCCGGGCATGTACCGTGTCTGGCAGAGGCTTCGTCGCCGTGACCTCGATGGGCTTCACCAGCAGCTGCGCCGCCCGTACTGGGGCGCCTTGGCAGGCCGTAGTGCACTCGATCTGTCTTGGTTGCAGGCTGCGCGCAGTGAGGCTGAGGTCAGCCAGAACAATTATATCCTTTTGATTTTGATGGACTACAGCAAGTTCTACGAGGGCATCCCGCTGGAGGTATTACGTGGTCGCCTCCTTGCCTGCGGCATGCCCATGCCGATTCTCAAGTTAATTTTCAACACGTGGCAGTCACCGCGTATCATTCGCCTGGGCCTGCACCACAGTT